GAAGGGGTAGGCAGAGGTGTACATTATGCCACTGTACAATGTAACACCCACTTTTCACTATTTATGTTATGAGTCCCATGTAACAGGGGGTGAGCATATTGCCATATACTGGGCACAATTCCAGGCACCATGCTACTACTGAGAATTTTTTTTAAAACCCAGTGACTCGGCCAACGAAGCAGTTATACATATAGTATAGTTATATTTTAAGTTATATATAATGTATTATTTAAGGGTCTATATTTTATTTATAAGATTATTGTGGAATATCATCTATTTTGGAAATTCTTAGTAATAAATTTTATTTAGCGATTACATTTGAAATGTTATGATAAATGTACACCTAATGAATTGAACTCAAAATATGACTGACATAATTGGAGATCTAATATTAATAATCATGTACCTGTACACTTATTATATTTATTTATTAATAAATCAATTGTGAGTTTATCACCTATTTAAGGTACCTACTGTAAATTTTTTATACTTATCATTTATATTGTGATTGACTGTGAATTATATTTCAATAAAACCAAGTTTGTAATGTTTTAATACTTATATTTTCTCTTCTAGTACTGAAATTTATATAATTGCCAGCATTATGATATAAAAAATATAAATAAAACATATTTTTGAGTGAGTAGTGAGTTCTAATGACAGTATGTATGTTTGATGAAATTACATTACATTATGTATTTTTATATAACAACATCAGTATTAATATAAATGATCCAAAATGTATTATTATTTTATTTATTACACACTAAATCATTTTACGAAAGGAAACATTTTTTGATACTCACTTTATTTATACGTACATAGATAAATCACTTATAATATTTATACCTCTACTGCTTATTTAATTTTTTATGTACAATAGATAGTTTATCTTATTTTTTGCTTAACATAAGAGACTTTGATTGTTTTACGGTGGGAATACTAGCTCATTTTTAGATTTCTGGTGGTTATTTCAGCCTAATAAGAATTTAAATCCACATCAATACTGAAGTCATGTTTATAAATATGTTAAAAGATGAAATTAAATTAAGACTGTTGTATAAACACAGGTTTGCATAGGAATACATAACAGCTAATCAAGCTTATTTGGTTTAACATTAGTATTTTGATATTGAGAACGAAATATGCGTGTTTTGTAACATTTATACAAATAAATAAATTTCTCTGTCCCGATGTATCCTACATAACATTAGGCACTAAATTGGCAACCTACAAGGCACTATGCACTTAGCACAGCAAATATGCTATAATAATAATTATATTATGATTTTATATATTGTAACAAAATTTATAACTCTATTATTTCACTATAGCTCGTAATACGTACTATACTGCGTTTTCTTTAAACATTTATACAAAGTAAGTAGTTTGTAAAACAACCGCCGTATTACAGTTGAACTATGCAAGTAAATAACAAGCTGGCGATATTATATAAACATAATGCGTATTGTATTTCACATATTATTTTTAATGCAAATGAACGTGCCTAACGAAATTAAAATACATATTACTAAGTTCACTGATATCCTCTTTTTTATTCATATTTGAATATCGATGTTATTTAGCTAAATTCATGAGCTGACCATGTCAAGCCACAATATCGACAAGCCTGTTGGGCTTTACATACTAGTAACAATACAACACTATATATATACATTTAATTATATTTACAATTATATAGCTGCACCTTGATATTATTTCCTACATAATTAGGATTATGGAATGTGACAAAACTGTACCTAACTAACACTAAAGCCGAATATTTACAATCGGTGTATATTAAATGAGTCATATCAGTCTGATTTATTGTTGTCCTTTAACTTTTATGATATACGCAACGATTTTTTTCATTTTATGATCAACATCATTTAATGATTTCATCTAGAAACAACAATTACACGGTCAGTGATAATAGATTTAAAAACATACAGTTCCTAAATGTTAACAGTCCTTCTGATACTTGTGTCATCTTTTAAATGCAATATTCACCATACTCGAGTAAATAACAACATTATCTAAGGAATAACCAGTAGACTGTACACAGGAAGGAGACGAGACACGTTATGTACATACACAAATCATAGTAAACACTGAGTCAATCACATTAAAACACTGTCTTAGCCGAACGATTTCGGAAGACTTGGCACACGCGACACGACACTGCGTCTCAGTCACTTCGCAATGGATCCGTAAACAGTTTGTTTAGGTAATTTTCAAATATAAGTCTTTTTCACCTTTTGTAAGGTGCCGCACTTTAGGTCCTTGTCTAAGGACTCGGTGGAGTTTCGTAGGTCAAGTGTGCGCTCTTTGCCGAGCTCCATGTGCAAGTTGTCCTGTTTCGGACACACGTTCGCTACCATGTTCACGTTTTTCGATCGAGGCATATACGCAGTGTTGGCATTTAACGGTGTTTCTAACGGGCTCAATCTGAAACAGATGCATTCATTAGTTAAAGATTTATTTATGTTAATTAACATTTCTATTTATATTCCTACTAAATAAATTAAACCTATAAAAAGTCTCTTGTGTTATTGTATACAGTGATATGCTAATGTGTTTATATCATTAGCATGTTTCTCATTAAGGTTTGTTTGTATGTTATGATACATGTGTAGTGCAAAAACGATTTGTGACTAAGCAAGTCGGATCTGTACAAGGTCAACGAAAAGAATAACTAGTGCAAGGGCTTTAATGTGACAAAACTTTCAGCGACCATTTGCGGATTACAACTATGACTCACTTCTGGAAATCATAAAAACTCGCCTGTAAAGGAAAACTGTAATGTCAGTCAGGCGAACGATACGAGCTTATTAAACAATTTATTAAAACTTAATTTAAATTAAAAATCATAAATACAGTAAAAATATTTACCTGTTCAAATGATTATGTTGTTCATTGAAGGGTGAGGTATCGGTAAAAAACGGGTGTCGAAATCGCCGTGAGAAAAGATACCCAATAACGAATCCGACCATTAGCGTAACGAGACAGGACGCTACGACGGCAGTTAGCAAAGCTTGTGCGCTGTAAATGTTACCGTCAGCGGCCTCCACAGTCAGCAAGTCTGTGAAATTTAAATAAACATAAATTAAGATTCATAGCAACATTGATTGCTTATTTTTTCATAGAAATGTTAACAGGAACTGTTATTATTTTCTACTTTCATCAGCCATATTTACCTGTCTCATGTTTGTTGTTATTAGTAGTTTTATCTTCGGATAACACATTCGTTTCCACAACCTCTATTAGTATTTCATTTTGGATGTCATCAGTTTTTTGACGCATATCAGATTCTGATTGCGTAGGCTTCTTAGTGCCTGGATTTCTATTGCTATGTCTATCACCCGGCAAGAGGGCTGGCAACTTATTACATATATCAGTCTTTCCATATTCTACATTTTGTAGAAACCTCTCAGGATTGGGAAATTGCCTGTTTCCAACCCAAGAACAAACTTGCTGCTTGGAATCCCACGCACAGTGTGGATCCTGCAACGCAACGCACTCCCTGGAATCAAAGGAAAGTTCATTAGTCGTGTTTTATTGTAATGGGGGTAACAAACATTGAAAAAAGTAAATTTCTTTGTTGGTAAAAAATGTGATAGTTTACCTGCACGATTGCACGTTCCCACAGTGAGATAATGTCACTGCCCTAATAATATCGCCGGAGGCAACAATTAATTTCTCTGTGGTTAAAGCGACGTGCATTTGTTTTATAGGCACGCCTTGAGGTAATACTTGGACTTCTGAAATCACAGCGGTTCTTACGGGGTTCCTACTGTACTCGTCTACACTGGCATCAAAGTCACCCTCGTTAGCTGCTACATTGACAGCTTTGATAACTCTTCCGTCGTCAGTACCAATGTACATGACGTCGTACTTGTTTCCGTTCATCGCTTGAACTTGAGGATGAACCGCAATAGCTGAAAATCTGTATTGTAGACTAACTCGAATGAGCACTGGCCGAGCTAAGAATGATGGAACAGCTTTATCCATAAGTGGGTGTGTTTTTATGAAATTGACAGCTGAATCAGAAAGGGTTCGGCTGTCTTCAACACATGATCCTGGTCTGTTCTCTGGTATCTTTTCTTTTTCTAAAGGTAGCCAGTTTGAGTTCATACTTTCTTGACCTTTGAAAGATCCTTCAAATGCATCAATGATATCTCTCATTGCAAAAGCACATACAGCTGAACCTCCAATGGCATTTTGGGGCGTTGTGAAAACTGCGTATATGATATCGTTTTTGCTGCTACTTTTACCATATATTCCATTTATTAGTTCTGTGGTAGCCTCTGAAATAGGAATTTTGTTTTAATATTTGATCCATGGAAAAATTTTATATCTGTTATAAGGCATCAATCAAAATAAGAAATACTTACGTATTTCATCGAAATAGAAAGGATATTCTCCAGGCATGGAACAGTTGAGGCGAGTTTTCAAGAATGATGTCCAGCGATCGCTGAACGTATGTGGCCCTCCTTTGTCATTTAAGCATATTCTTGCTACTCTTGAGTAAACCGCCTGCAATTGTAAAATTTTGGTATGTCAAATACAGGGTTATGAAAATAAAATCGTGGAATTTGTATCGTATAAGATAGAAAGTAATATTGTTTTGTGGATATTGACCTTTCCGCAGTTCATAAATTCCACAGCAGTTTCACGATAGAAGAAGTAGACATGGCTAGTAGAAGCCACTGCCCCCACAAATGATGGATCATTGAGCAAACGAAGGTCGGAGCGCTCAGTTCGTACAGGTTCGCGATAGATCAGAGGATCGGTCCCAGAAAAGTCGGCTGCTGTTGCGGTGTATAATAGACCATCTGAAAAAAAAAATATCTTGTAGTTATGGTCTTGTTTGGCTTATTGAATGTTCCTATAGATAAAGCAGTAGTTATGTAAACTTACCAACAAAAATTGCAGTAGAATTATGTTGAGGATCGTAAGGACAGCGTCCTGATCCATCACTCTCTTCTAGGTGATGGTTCGGTGGGTGCCTCGCGTACCGACGGCATAATGGTTTGAATGCGTTGGTGCCGCAGACTAGGAGACGGCCGTGTGAACGTGCCGCCACTCGTGGATAATTCTGGCATTCATCTGCAGATTTGCCCTTTAATTGGCATAATTCTCTGTGTGCGTCCGTCGATTGCCACTCCAAACGCTGTGAGCAAATATATTCTTGATTAAAACAAGATTCGATTAAAAATTAAATAATTTCTAAAATTTTAGTCTTTGAAACGGTTTGAATTTCGTAATATTATCGCAGCCAAATATCCCACTTTCAGTGGAGCGCGTTTGTAATTCGATGGCCACAGCCGGCCTGCGTTAGCAAACCGACGTTGCGCCGTGTCTGCACTATTTATATACGAGTCTGGCTGTCTCGTGCGTAATCTGTTTGAATTTTGTTTATTAATTTGATAAATTAGTCTCATTAAGACATGTTGCCTTATTTTGTTGAATAAATAAATTCAGTATTTAGGTTGGATCGACAGTTTTGCACTTTAATGCGCGGTTCAAATATTAAACCCTATTTTCATTCGTATTAAAAACCGGGATACTCGAGGAGATTTTTTATATTTATTTGCTGTAAAAAATCTGCAGTAGTTCAGTAAATACCATTAAAATCAGTGCGTTACATCAAAATGCATGGCTTAAACATCGAAAATGCGTGGTAAATTTATCAATTGGGTGTGTTATCTTCATTGCTAGATAATGAAGTTGATATCATTAATCCTTATCTATCAGTTTTCTTTAACACAAAAACAATTATACATTATTCCTACTACGTATACCTAAATTATGGTCTTTACGTTTGGTATCTAGGAGTGTTAATCAGTAGGAAATACATTTTTCGATAACTCACAAGTATAAAGTGAGAATCTATAGACTGTATAAAAAGATAAGTTGCTTAGGTTAAAGGAAAGTAACCGTGTATATAAATGATTAGTATTCGGGCGAGGCGGACTGGCCGCCCTGTGCCGCTGGCCGTGAATAATTCAACGCATCACCGCACTGGCTGGTTCTAATATGTGACGAGTAATTTAAACATCGAACATCACATTTAAGTTGAACCTTTCAATGTAAAGATTTTTACTCTTTATATAATTTTCTGTGTTACCTAGGTCTTTTGGAATATATTCCTAAATAATATATTAATGAACCCAGTTATCCTTTTAAGGATAACAGCCAGTCTTTCGCTTCTGTTGATTTAAATCAACTCGTCTAGTTTTAGTTGAAGTTTATCCTTCTTTCTGTTGATCTACAGGCTTTAGAGTATATTTTAGAGAAAGGATCAAATTTATTGTGTATTTTGCTTATCATCTGTGCGTCACTGTCCCTGATTTCTATTTATCTCTGTAAGGGCATTGAACGGATGTCTGATGTGCCGTCATAAAATCATGCACATAAACACGGGACTGTTTTTCATGAGTGAAACGTTAGTAATTTTTGGCCGTCTGCCAAACAATCTCTCACCCTACGTCCGTTCGCCCATGTAGTTTCGTATTTTTATTTCTCACACCGTATGGTGCCGTCAATCGGAACTTCGAATAACGTACAGTACCTACACCGGCTAATATTGTTTTATGCAAATCATCTAAATATTTGCTTTTATACTTTGCTCGCTTGGATGACAAAATATTATCATTCATATTGATTTGCCACTTGTTCCAATATCGTTCTCAAACTCTTGAATGGTCGTTTCTCAAGATGTTTAAATTAGCATAAGATGTGTTAATAAAGTAAACCTACTTAAGACTGGCATATGTGTAAAAATAATTTGCCACATAAATGTTAACTAGTACGCCAATGGCGTACATTACAGTATATAAAATCTTATACGATTTAGAAAATAAACAGTTTGCTTCGCGAAATGGGTCGTAACGTAACTAAGAATAAATAGTGAGTGCACCAGTAGGATACCTACTATACTTGTTTGCGCAAGATTAGATACATAAACCTGTAGTGGAGTGCGATACCTATTAAGGTTTTCGTTAGTTGTTCGTTTACTGACCGACTTGCTATTGTAATTCGTTTAATTTTGCCAAATTTATCGATATCAATCTAGACTGTCTGGTTACTGTTCTGGAGATAGTGCTTATCAGGGAGACCCTATTTTTAATCTATTACAAGATAAAACTCTTTGCCAAGTGGTTGGCAAATACGCTTAAATCGTCGTTTTGTGCTATTTATTCCAATCACAACCTATGTTTTCAATGTTTATCACATTTTTCTCTTATACTTAAGCTTTTTGGTATGTTATGTAAGTATGTAGTGGCAAAACAAGAAGGTATTGAATTATGTTAGAAGTCAAGGGATGGTTACCTGTTCTACATTTTCTGACAGGTCGTAGAGGCTTAGGTTGTACACTGTGTTCCTGCGAATAAAATAAAAGAGTAAATAATACAGTTACAAAAAAGATATGAAATAAATAATAGTTAAGTATGTAAATTTTTAATCCAATGTGGCAATTATTGACTAGAGTTAATTTGCATAATCCGAAGTTATGGGTTGATGTGGACAAAATAGTGGTATAACCTTATTTTTAGGCGTATCGGTATAATAATATAAAATGACATAATATTCATGTAATTACCTGCCACCAACTATAATGGAGAAGTCATCTTTGTCTAATATGCGGAAATGGTCCGGCGCTGTCGCGTTGCCTACGAACTGTTCTGAAGTTTCATCACCTAAAAGAAACAATATTACATTAGCCTTAGCCTTAGGTAATAAGGTACACATTATACAGACCTTGTGTAGAAAACAGAAATAGCCACACTTTGATTTAGACGAGAGACTCAGAAACACGACACTATAAGATAGCAGATGCTCCTAAAGCCAGTGAATTATTCAAAAAGATCCCTCGCACAGACATTTCAGCTCTCTAAGACGCTGTTGTTACTCGTAAAGGTAAATTGCTTTGATGAATTTAATATTGTACATGTAACTATTTTTAGTAGCAAATCTTCAAGTTAGAAATTGTAAAGTTGACCCTATAGACTTTGATTTTGGGTAACTCCTGTTAAGACCAGTTTCCAATATTCCAGGATGAAAAAATGGACGAATTTATCTAGTTTCACGCCTAACTTAGAAAATCAATGTAATCCGGTAAGTTATAAGAATCTTTGCAAGCTTTTGTTACCGAATTGAATGTGCATATTGAAAACATTTTTTTTGTAGAGATCAAACGAACAATGTTCCCATTGTACAGCGATTAAACAACAATGAACGTTTGCGATTTCATAACAATTGGTTGGGAAATTCTCACATGTCACTATAATACACCGAAATCCCAAGAAGTTTCTTGCACCTGTCTTTTCATAGGATGTTTAAAAGAACTTAACAACTATTTATAATTAAATCATTAAAGAATCAGTTTCCCATGAATCTTATAAATGTACCGTTTTCATTGTTTTTCATCCGGTTTTGAAGGACTTAGGTTCTTGAAATATTGCGAAGTTATTTACCTCAATGAGAGTGGCTATCAGATTTTGATATTTTCTTTTCAGCAATGAAGAAAAAAGTCTTTTTTTTAGGCTCCAGTGGACGTTTCTGTTATAGAAGAATTAAGTTTTTTATCTGATATCTTACCATATTTGATATGTATGCGTGCGTTAGCATCCGGCATCCAGGCTTGAGCCGTGGATGCTAGGAGGACAAGGACCGCGCGCGCGACGGCCATCTTAAATTAATATCTCCTCTCTATACGCGCCATCTTTCCACACTTCTGGTACCCTGGAACAATAGAAAATAATATTTAATAAAAGTTATTAGATTATCTATTTAGTATTTCTTTAATTAAGTTTCTAAATCAGTGATGTTACATTATCCAAACCTTTAAAGGTATAAAGCGTTGTATTATATTCAAATGTTATTGCTAAACTCTTGTTTCATAACATTAGGAGTTACTATCAAAACTTATAGCGACATCGGCTCTCAACCTTAATAGTGTGCGTGGTTGCATAATGAAAAACTGACGGTCTCGGACCATAACATACATTGTAAATATTTATATTAATAAAATGTTCTCAAGTGTACACAAGTCGATTTATGTGATGTGAATGTTAGTCTTTTTTATTTCTCCTGGTGCTAATCGTTTTATTGGCCATGAAGATAAAAAATAATTTAAATGATAAATGTAAAGTGTCCCTTCGTCCAGCATACTCACCATGGAATCCTGATATTTCATGAATGTCAAAAAACTGTTCTGAAATAGTGCTAAATAGTGCCCAAAGGAAAAAAATAGTGCTCTTGTACTTGCGAAGTTATAGCCATAGTTCGATGAGTATGCTGGACGAAGGTTTCGCCCAGCATACTCACCTCCGTCCGGAGAATCTGTATACGCTTCAAACATAATTCATACTTCAAAAAATAGTTCCCAAATAGTGCCAAACGGTGCCCAAAAAGAAAAAACAGTGCTCGAATAACTTCGGAGTTATAGGCTTCGTTCAGTGAGTATGCTGGGCGTAGGTTCTACGCCCAGCATACTCACCTCAGTGCGCGAATATCGAACGAGCTATAGGTACAATTTACGTCTCAAAAAATTGTGCTTGAAATAGTGCCCAATATCAGTCCAATTTTTGCTTGACTTTTGAC